CCCACTGTGCTTTGGGCTGTGCAGCCCCAAAGCCCAGCTCAGCCAGTGGCAGCGGCAGCCTGGCCTCATCCATTACTGGGCAATAGAGATTTAAGGGATAATGGCCATGGCAGCAGAGTATACACAGCAATAAACTGCTTTTGAGGTTGGTTAAATGCCAAGTGATGCTGAGGCTCGACGCCATAAACATTATTTCTATTATATGACAAGATAAGAGGATACAATAAACCAGCAAGAAGAGAGAGAAAAAAAAATAAAAAATCATTTTCTGGCCTCGTGAAAAGTTCTGGGCTCGGCGTTTCCTGGAGGCTGCACAAAGCAGCACCTCCGAGCAAGGGCTTAGGGGGAATAAATTGGGAAATTAAGGGGGGGTTAAAAAGCAAACGATTGTCTGAGGAAATGGCCTGGATAACTGGAGCTCTGGAATTAGGGCCGGAGGGATGATTTGTGTGCCCTGTAAAGGAAATGCTGCAGAGGGCAGGGCTGGGGGAGCTGCACTCCCATTGAATATCTCAGGATATTCAATGTATTCAGTATGTTCAGAATATTCAGTATACTCAGTATGTTCAGTATATTCAGTATATTCAGTATATTCAATGTATTCAGTATATTCAGTATATTCAGTATATTCAATGTATTCAGTATATTCAGTATATTCAGTATATTCAATGTATTCAGTATATTCAGTATATTCAGTATATTCAATGTATTCAGTATATTCAGTATATTCAGTATATTCAATGTATTCAGTATATTCAGTATATTCAGTATATTCAATGTATTCAGTATATTCAGTATATTCAGTATATTCAATGTATTCAGTATATTCAGTATATTCAGTATATTCAATGTATTCAGTATATTCAGTATATTCAGTATATTCAATGTATTCAGTATATTCAGTATATTCAGTATATTCAATGTATTCAGTATATTCAGTATATTCAGTATATTCAATGTATTCAGTATATTCAGTATATTCAGTATATTCAATGTATTCAGTATATTCAGTATATTCAGTATATTCAATGTATTCAGTATATTCAGTATATTCAGTATATTCAATGTATTCAGTATATTCAGTATATTCAGTATATTCAATGTATTCAGTATATTCAGTATATTCAGTATATTCAATGTATTCAGTATATTCAGTATATTCAGTATATTCAATGTATTCAGTATATTCAGTATATTCAGTATATTCAATGTATTCAGTATATTCAGTATATTCAGTATATTCAATGTATTCAGTATATTCAGTATATTCAGTATATTCAATGTATTCAGTATATTCAGTATATTCAGTATATTCAATGTATTCAGTATATTCAGTATATTCAGTATATTCAATGTATTCAGTATATTCAGTATATTCAGTATATTCAATGTATTCAGTATATTCAGTATATTCAGTATATTCAATGTATTCAGTATATTCAGTATATTCAGTATATTCAATGTATTCAGTATATTCAGTATATTCAGTATATTCAATGTATTCAGTATATTCAGTATATTCAGTATATTCAATGTATTCAGTATATTCAGTATATTCAGTATATTCAATGTATTCAGTATATTCAGTATATTCAGTATATTCAATGTATTCAGTATATTCAGTATATTCAGTATATTCAATGTATTCAGTATATTCAGTATATTCAGTATATTCAATGTATTCAGTATATTCAGTATATTCAGTATATTCAATGTATTCAGTATATTCAGTATATTCAGTATATTCAATGTATTCAGTATATTCAGTATATTCAGTATGTTCAGTATATTCAGTATACTCAGTATGTTCAATACATTCAGCATGTTCAGTATCACAGCCCTGTCGCTGCCCTGGGCAGCAGGAGTGGCCAACCAGGTTCATGAACAGGGAGATTCCTCCTCAAGGATGCTCAGGAGAGCCAGGAGCACCCCAGGGTGGCATCTGCAGGGTCCCTGAGGGGCTTTGGGGCCTTTTCCGAGGGGGGAGACAGAGCCAGACACGGGGGAACCTCCCGGGGCAGCAGCTGAAGCCCCCAGCCCCAGAGCTGTGCTCTGGGTGCCTTAATGAGCCAGCTGAAGGTTTAATTTCCTAATTAATGAGGTGGAGCTGTCCCACTGCACAGAGCTTGGGAACAGCTCCCTGTTCCAACAGCAGGGCCCAAATTCCCCCAGACCTGAAGGTTTAATTCCCAATTCCCCCAAACCTGAAGGTTTAATTCCCAATCCCCCCAAACCGAAAGGTTTATTTCCCAATTCCCCCAAACCTGAAGGTTTCATTCCCAATCCCCCAAACCTGAAGGTTTAATTCCCAATTCCCCCAAACCTGAAGGTTTAATTCCCTAATGAACCATGTGGGGCTGTCCCCCTGCCCAAAGCTGCCCAACACCCCCAGGTCCAGCTCTCAGCCCCCGGAGTGGCTGGAATTGAGAGGTCTGGGGATGACAACAGCACCCAGCACCAGGAATGGAGAGCTTGGGGGTGATCAGCAGCACCCAGCACTGGAACTGAGAGCTTGGGGGTGACCAGCAGCACCCAGCTCGATTCCACCAGGACATCCCGGCTCCAGGCTCCCCCCGTGCCTCCCAGGGCCACTCCGGGGCAGGGGCTGCCCAGCTCCCCCCGCCCTCCCGGCGGTTCCCAGGGGAATTCTCCAGCTGTCCCTGCGGGGAGGCTCCAGACACCCGACCTGGGCAGGATCTGCTGCACGCTGCGAGGCAGCTGGGCACGGGGAATCCCAAAATAACCCCCCTGCAGCCCTGGCAACCCCAAACATGTTTACAGCCCGCCGCACCCCCGGGCACAGCGCTCGGGGCTGCTCCGCGCCCTCCTCGCTGCCTCTGCAGCTTCTCCTGGGTGGAAACGGGAAAAGGGGGAAAAGGGGGGAAAAGGAGGGAGAAGGGGGGGAGAAGGGGGAAAAGAAGGGGAAAAAAGGAGGGAAAAGGAGGGGAAAAGGAGGGAAAATGAGGGAAAAGGGGGGAAAAGGAGGGAGAAGGGGGGGAGAAGGGGGGAGGAAAGGGGGAAAAAAAGGGGAAAAAAGGAGGGAAAAGGAGGGGAAAAGGAGGGAAAATGAGGGAAAAGGGGGGAAAAGGGGGGAAAAGGAGGGAAAAGGCAGGAAAAAGGGGGGAAAGGAGGAGAAAGGAGGGAAAAGGGGGGAAAGGAGGAGAAAGGAGGGAAAAAGGGGGGAAAAAAGAGGAGAAAGGAGGGAAAAAAGAAGGGAAAAGGAGGGGAAAAGGGGTTTAGGGCATTAATGATAGGGCTGGTGTCAGCTACAGAGGGAAGGAAGCAGCTGCTGGGGCAAATCATGAAGTGACCCCAGGACATTCCCCCATCCCAGCCCTGCTGTCCCTGCTCTGCGGGTGCTGCCCTGGATCCCCATCCCAGCCCTGGATCCCCATCCCAGCCCTGGATCCCCATCCCAGCCCTGGATCCCCATCCCAGCCCTGGATCCCCATCCCAGCCCTGGATCTCCCACCCCATCCCAGCCCTGGATCCCCATCCCATCCCATCCCATCCCATCCCATCCCTGGATCCCCATCCCATCCCTGGATCCCCATCCCAGCCCTGGATCCCCATCCCAGCCCCGGATCCCCATCCCATCCCTGGATCCTCATCCCCATCCCATCCCATCCCATCCCAGCCCCGGATCCCCACGCCAGCCCTGCCCTGCTCTGAAGGACGTTCTGGGAAAAGCAGGCTGAGGTCAGGCTGGATCCCCATGAATCACCCCGCTCGGAATTACCAGGATTCCAGCATTTCCATATTAACATGAGGAATTGTCGGAATTACCCATAAGCAGCAGGCTGGAACAGCCAGAGGAGGAAGCAGCCACCTTTATATGTCATTTGTGGGAGATTGTGGGAGATTAAATTTAAATACATTGTTGTTTGCCTTAATTGCTTGTTTGAAGCCGATTTTAGGGCTGTGTGATTGAAGGGCTCACACCATTAAGTGCTCAAACACAGCTAATACATTTTATAAATGGCCTGCACAATTTCACAGGCAAAGAAGTTTCAGATAAAAAGCAGCCTCCAAAAAAAAAAAAAAAAAAAAAAAAAAAAAAAAAAAAAAAAAAAAAAAAAAAAAAAAAAAAAAAAAGTTCACCTGCAAGGGGGGAGGGAAGGATCTGTGTGAGGCTCGTGCCACAATGACCAGAAAGCTGGGAAACCCTAAATATGTGTTTTTAAACCAGCAGGAGTTCCACAATCCCCCAGTGTCCAGCAGACCCCACTAAACCAGCAGGAATTCCACAATCCCCCAGTGTCCAGCAGATCCCATTAAACCAGCAGGAGTTCCACGATCCTCCAGTGCCCAGCAGATCCCACTAAACCAAGAGGAGTTCCACGATCCCCCAGTGTCCAGCAGACCCCACTAAACCAGCAGGAATTCCACAATCCCCCAGTGTCCAGCAGACCCCACTAAACCAGCAGGAATTCCACGATCCCCCAGTGTCCAGCAGACCCCACTACATCAGCCCCAGCAGCAATTCCATCGTCCCCAGTTCCTCCCAGTACCAAGTGCAGGGAGCCCCTGAGCTCGTCTTTGGGATGGCACCATTTTCCCTGGAAAGGGAAGGAAAAGGGGATGGGAAGGTGAGGCTGGAGGAGGATGAGCCTCCCCCACCTCTCTTCCCAGGAAGCTCCGCAGCGGCTCAGGGAGGAGGAATTCCGCAGGGCACGGGAAGAAGCCCATCCCAAAATAGCATTTTGGGGACCACCTCCCGTCACCTGTCACATTCCCAGCTGCTCCAGAGGAGGAACTCGGAGCCTCCTGGCTCTGGAGGGCTGTGGGATTATCCACAACGGGGGGCACGGCCCAGGGGAGGCCGCGGCACAGGAACCAGCCCCAGTCCCGTTAAACCAAAATCCCATTAAACCCCAAAGCCAGAGCAGCCAAAATCCCATTAGACCGTGACCCCAAAGCCAAGCAGCCAAAACCCCAAAGCCAAGCAGCCAAAACCCCAAAGCCAAGCAGCCAAAACCCCAAAGCCAAGCAGCTGGTACCTGTCCGCAGCCCGGGGCGCCGCACACGAAGGGCCTGTCGTCACCCATCCTGCCTGGGGAGAGAGAAGGGACAGAAATCCTTAAACAGCCCCAAAAACCCCCAAAGCACCCGCGGGAGCTGCCCCTCTGCTGGGACGGAACTATCCCGGCCAGGGTTTAGGATTTGGGAGGGACCGGGTGGGTTTTTCCAGCTGGAAGGGAACCTGGAAAGGTGTGGGAGCATCACCCAGAGGTGTCCTGCAGCTCGGCGTCACCTCCTGAGGTGGGGACAATGCCCAGCCCCCCCAGCACGGCCCCCCTCGGTGTTCAGGGGGTCAGGGAACATCCTGGCACCCCCGGGGATCCTCAGAGCCAGCCCCGGAATCCCCCCACACACACAAACAAATCAGCAGGGACAGCGGCAATCCGCAGAAAACAAAGTGCGAGCGAGCAGCCATCAAATAAATCCACGGCCTCTCTCTGCACCGGTTATATTTTCAATGGGAGAGAACTAAAATTTGTCATTTAATTAATTAAGGGATTATAGGAGTGGTGCTCCGTTTTACAAGGCAATAATCGGGCTCCCCAGTGGGTAAACTACAAGGCTGATGGCAGGGGCAGTTTATCACGGATTACAGCCAAGGATAACAAAACACTCACTCCTATTATGCTACAAGTGAAGCTGCTCTCATTAATAAAAAATAAGAGTAAATAAAGTAAAACCCTCCCCCCAGCCTCAAACTCGAGAAACAACGGTTCCCTCCTCCACCCACTGATATTTTTACAGCAGGATTTCACAAAGCTGCGATAAAGCAAACGCTGTCTCCTCGGGGGGCTGCTCCGGGGGGCTGCCAGCACCTCCAGGCTGGGATGGGCTGGGGGAGAAGGGCTTGCACTCGCAGCCCCGAGGGCTGCTGTCTGGTATTTTTAGGAGCTGTGTGAGAAAGAGCTCCGGGAATGTGGCAGGGAGAGCGGCAGGAGCTCCTGCTCCCCGGGAAAGGAATCAATGAGCTGCTGAAAACGAACAGAACCGGCGGTTTTCTGCGGCAGGAGGTGAATTCCTCCCCCAGCCACGGCAGCGAGCCCCAAAGCTGAGGAGAGAGGAGCTGTGATCCCACAGAGCAGCTGGGCTGGATGTGGGGCTGGATTTATGGAGCCAAACTCCGGGGGCTGTGCAAACAGGAGTGGGGATAAATGTCCCTGCCACCGACAGGAATGGGGATAAATGTCCCTGCCACCGACAGGAATGGGGATAAATGTCCCTGTCACCCATGGCACGGGCTGGCAGCCAAAGCCCTGCCCGGCCCAGGGGGAACAAAGGCACCCAAACATCAGGAACGGCCCCAAAAATCCCAGAAGTGACACGGGGGGGCAGAGCAGGGGACAGCAGCAGCTCAAGGACAAATCCCACCCAGGCCTTGAGGTGACGCCGGAACTCTGGATGGATCCAGCTGATCCTGGCTGTGTCAGGAGGATCCCCCCATCCCCAAAGCAGGATCCAGCTGATCCTGGCTGTGTCAGGAGCATCCCCCCATCCCCAAAGCAGGATCCAGCTGATCCCCCCATTCCCAAGGCAGGATCCAGCTGATCCCCCCATTCCCAAGGCAGGATCCCCCATTCCCAAAGCAGGATCCTCCCATTCCCAAGGCAGGATCCAGCCGTTCCCAAAGCAGGAGCGGCCGCTCTGGGCTGCGCACACACGTGTGCTCAGATTTATGTCACGTTTAGCCAGGATAAATCCCCCCATAAATCCTGTCCTCGGGAAGAGGCCGAGGCAGGAGCAGACTGGGTGCCGGGAGCTCGCTCTGTCCCTCTCTGGCAGCCCCGGGAGGACATGCACTGCTGGGATGGCTTAGGAGTGCTTTGGGAAGGGGAAAGGCACACACAGGCTGCTCTGGGGGAGCTCCAGGGGGATTTTCACCCGAACCAGGCTGGGATCACCCGTGCTGGCTGGCAATGACCCTGCCCGAGGCCCCTGTGGCGCTGCTGTCCCTCCAGGGTGCTCCCCAGGCCCTGGCCCTGCACAGGACAGGGGTGTGGGTGGGGACAGCCCGGTGGCACAGGGTCACACCCACAGCTGGGCTGGCCTTGGCCCTGTCACCGCAGCCATCCCAGCCTGCCCGCACACGTCCTGGGATGGGGAAGCTCCCACGGGGCTGCTCCGGCTGCCTTAGAGAAGGAGCAGAGGCCGGGAGCCAGGATTTGGCAACCTGAGTCTCTTGTGTCCTGCCAAAGTCAGGAGCCACTGGCCCCTCGTCCCTGGGGTCTCCCACACGGCTGTGGCCAGCTGCAGACCACCTGGCTTTCTGCAGCACCTCAAATCCCCATGAAAAACACCAAAAGCAACAAAAAATCACCTCTCCTTAAACCTCAGCGTGAAGACGGAAGGAACTCCCTGGACCTCAGCCCTGCTGAATGCTGGGCACAGAGCTGGGAAATGCTCTAAAAATAAGGTTCTATTGTTGTCCTGGCACGTGACTCTGCTGCAGGAATGCTGGTGCCCAACGCCTGCATCTGGGCACTGCAGGGTGGGCAGGAATGCACTGGGATTGCACTGGGAATTGCACTGGGAATGCAACAGAAATGCACTGGGAATTGCACTGGGAATTGCACTGGGAATTGCACTGGAATTGCACTGGGAATGCTGCAGGCCCTGAAAAACACTCAGGGGGATGCAGACACGTTCTGTGCCAGCTGGGATCTCTCTCCAGGACAGATCCCTTTTCCAGCAGGGATCCCTCTCCAGCACTCTCTCCCCTACCACCACCACCACAATTCTGGGTTATGCCCGTAAACCATGAGGATAAACCTCACATTAATGTGACCACAAAATTAAAGCTGAGGGCTGCACCAACCATGAACCAAAACCAGCAGGGCTGCGAGAGCCGCCTCCTAAAAATAGGCTCGGCCTGAAGAGGCACAAAGCCAGGCTGCTGGCACAGGCTGGGCCAGGAGGAGCTGCACGAGAGAGGGGCAGGGGGCAGGCAGGGCCCACTGAGGCTCAGGCCAGGAGCTCCTGGAGCTGGCAAGGCTCCCGTGGCTGCCTCAGCCCGTCCTCAGCAACTCCTGGGGCTGGGCAGCAGCCAGGCAAGGCTCCCTCAGCCCATCCTCAGTAACTCCTGCCTGGGCTGAGCCCTGCCCTGAGCTGGTGTGGGGAGCAGGAGAGCAGCGACAGAGGGGGACAGAATGAGCTGGCACGAAGGCTGCGTGCTTTTTGGGGCAGTCTGGGGATAAAACCCCATTATGGGGTTGATTCTCAGAGCTCAGTGAGTGCCAGGCCAGCCCGGCTCCATGGGGTTAATTCTGAGCTCAGGAGAGGCCAGCCCGGCTCCGTGGGGTTAATTCTGAGCCCAGGAGAGGCCAGCCCAGCTCTGTGGGGTTAATTCTGAGCCCAGGAGAGGCCAGCCCAGCTCTGTGGGGTTAATTCTGAGCCCAGGAGAGCCCAGCCCGGCTCCGTGGGGTTAACTCCTGGCCCGGCCAGCCCGGCTCCGTGGGGTTAACTCCTGGCCAGCCCAGCCCGGCTCCTCTGGGCGGCTCTGCCAGCCCGGGAGCCGTGCCAGGAGCACAAACAAACCCATTCAAACACAAACGGCGCCCCAGGCACCGGCCCAGCCCCGAGCACGGGCAGGGGGAGAGCAGGGAGAGCCACAATAAACGAGATTATTATGGATGGCTGCAGATCGGGGCTGGAGCAGCCTCTGGCTTCCAGGAGAACACACAAACCCCCAGTGGCAGCCCCGAATCGCTCTGGGGGAGCAGCAGGGAGGGAAGGCGGCCCCGACTGCCATTTCCAGCCCGGGGGAAGGAAGCACAGGGCTGTGCCCCAAGCTGTGCCCCCGGACTGTCCCCCAGGCTCTCCAGAACCTCTGAGGTTTCCCCTGAAAACTCGAGGAAGGAAGCAGAGTGCTCGAGGCCGGCCAGGAAAGGCTCCCGTGGTTTTCCTGAGGGCAGTGGTGGCCAGCCCTGAGCTTCCCGAGCCTCTGGATGGGCTGGGGTCAGCAGGGCCACCCGGGGAGGGCAGGGACACAGCCCTGCCCTGGCCAGGGCCCGCTGTCCCCTCCGGTGCCAGCCCGGGGGTCACTGTGAGCACCGTCATCCACCCTCACAGGAGGGAACAGCAAACTCGAGCTGTTCCTTCAAAACACCGAGGGAAAAGCGGGAGTGGGGTCCCACCTGCTCTGAGGAGACAGGTTGGCACCTCATCCTCATCCTCATCCTCATCCTCATCCTCATCCTCATCCTCATCCCTGCTGCTGTGGGACCTCAGGGTGATCCGGAGTTGTGGGCACTGGGCCAGGGCTGCTCCCGGGGCTGCTCTGGGCCCTCAGAGTGATCCCAAGCTCCACACACCGGCCCCGGGGCTGCTCCTGCCCCTCAGAGCCGTATGGAGCTGCACAATACACACCGGCCCCGGGGCTGCTCCCGGGGCTGCTCCTGCCCCTCAGAGCCGTATGGAGCTGCACACACCGGCCTCGGGGCTGCTCCTGCCCCTCAGAGCGACTCAGGCTCCACACGCCGGGCTCAGGGCTGCTCCTGCCCCTCAGGGCTCTTCGGAGCTGCACACACCGGCCTCGGGGCTGCTCCTGCCCCTCAGAGCGAGCCCGAGCTGCCCACACCAGGCCAGGGCTGCTCCTGCCCCTCAGAGTGATCCCGAGCTGCCCACCCCAGGCCAGGGCTGCTCCTGCCCCTCAGAGTGATCCCGAGCTGCCCACCCCAGGCCAGGGCTGCTCCTGCCCCTCAGAGTGATCCCGAGCTGCCCACCCCAGGCCAGGGCTGCTCCTGCCCCTCAGAGTGATCCCGAGCTGCCCACCCCAGGCCAGGGCTGCTCCTGCCCCTCAGAGCGATCCCGAGCTGCCCACACCGGCCCCGGGGCTGCTCCTGCCCCTCAGAGCTGCATGGAGCTGCACACACCCGGGGCTGTTCCTGCCCCTCAGAGTGATCCCGAGCTGCCCACACCAGGCCAGGGCTGCTCCTGCCCCTCAGAGTGATCCCGAGCTGCCCACACCAGGCCAGGGCTGCTCCCAGCGCTGCTCCTGCCCCTCGGGGTGCCCACAGCTCTCCCTGCCTCTCCTCGCCCGGATCCACCCATGGAAATTGCGAAAGACTTTCAGTTTTGCAGGGAGAGGCCCCCCCAGGGCGGCTCTTGGGCCCAAACTCCGACTTTCAAGTTATTTTGGGGTGTGAGGGAAGGAGGGAGAGTGTTTGCTTTGTAACCAAAAAGCTGCGAGAGCTTAAAATTGTCGTGTGGGAAAGGAGGCCAAGAGCCCGGGCTATAAAACCTGCTTTGGAGGCACAACACCCTCACGCTTCGTGGGCTTGACAAAGCAAAGCAAACCCAACTGTATAAACTGGAATATTGGCAGGGAATTCGCTGGAAACAAATCCCCCCCAGCCACAGGGTGTTTAACGAGAAAGCTCAGCCAAGTCCCAGCAGCTCCCGCAGGCTGGGCCTTTCTGGGTGTTCGGGCTCAGAGAGGATCCCCAAAAAGCCAAAACCTCATCGCCCCAGGGTGTCAGAGATGTGCAAAACCATCGTTTCTTGCTGGGAAGTGCCTTAGAACAGCCTTGGGGTGGCCCAGTCCTGTCAGGGGTGGCACCATTCCTGTCAGAGCCTCTCACCTGGCCCTCAGGTGAGCCCACAGTGGGTCCCGGAGCCCGCCAGGAGCAGAGGGGCTGCAGAGCAACCCCAGGGGCTGCGGGGACAAGGACAGGGGCACTGTCACCGTCCTGTCACCGCAAAGCAAAGCCGGCCACTGACCCCGGCCTCGGCCAGAGCACTGGACAGGGATTCGGGAGCGTCTGGGCCCTGTTTGGTGGCAGCTGGTGGCCCTGGGACCTTCGGAGCTGCAGGGAAGTCCCTGAGGCTGGAGCTGCCCCCAGCAGCTCCGAGTGACCTCCAGGAGCTCCGAGCCGCCTCCAGGAGCTCTGAGCTGCCTCCAGGAGCTCCAAGTGGCCTCCAGGAGCTCCAAGTGTCCTCCAGGAGCTCCAAGCCGCCTCCAGGAGCTCCGAGCCGCCTCCAGGAGCTCTGAGCCGCCTCCAGGAGCTCCGAGCTGCCTCCAGGAGCTCTGAGCCGCCTCCAGGAGCTCCGAGTGGGCCCCGGGAGCCTGGAGCAGCCTCTGGGAGCTCCGAGCCACCTCCAGGAGCTCCGAGCCGCCTCCAGGAGCTCCGAGCCACCTCCAGGAGCTCCGAGCCGCCTCCAGGAGCTCCAAGTGTCCTCCAGGAGCTCCAAGCCGCCTCCAGGAGCTCCGAGCCGCCTCCAGGAGCTCCGAGCCACCTCCAGGAGCTCCGAGCCGCCTCCAGGAGCTCGTGGCAGCCTCCAAAGATCTGAGCCACCTCCAGGGCTCTGAGCAGCCTCCAGGAGCCCAGAGCTGCCTCCAGAGCTCCCAGCCCTGTTAGACCCGGAGCTCCACCTGTCCCCAGGGCATGACCCGTGCCTGACCCCGGCACAAAGCACAGCCCGAAGCCCAAATTGCTGCAGGAAAATCTTTCCTCCCCGAGCAGCGATTTCCCGGGCAGGATCCGGGGTGGCCTCGGCTCCGGGGCGATCCATCTCGGCGCTGCCGAGATCTACGGCAGCACAGGGAAATAATTCAGCTTTACGGGAGGAAGGGAAGGCCTCGGAGAGCCACTGCTCCTCACCCGGCCCGGGTAATTACACGAGAGCCGCGGCAGCCTCGGAGAGCGCAGTATTTTACCTCGGAAATGCCTGAGTGACCCAGAAACTGGAGTCCCATTTCCTGAAATTATTTCACCACTTCAGAGCCCTTGTTTCAATGAAAGCTGCTGCAAACGAGGCATGAGAGCCCCGAGCTGAGCTGGAACATATTTTCCCTGCCGACATGTGTGGATGGTTTGAAGGGAAGAGCAAAGTCAGGGCTGCAAGGAGCGGGAGAGCCCGGGGTGAGAACGAGCACCTCGATAAAAACCCACACGTGAACCCCAATAACGGAGCCAGGGCAGACAGGGAGCCCCCACTGTGACATACAAACATTCTGTCCCACCTGTTATTATCCCATCCCACCTGGGCACTTCCCTCTGTTCAGCTTTCAGAGGCTTTTAGGGGCCACCATTTGATGCACGAGCCCTAAAAATCCGAGGGGAGAGATTCTGCTCCAGGCAGAAGGGCTTGCAGAAGGGGTCTGCAGAAAGGGATTGCAGAAAGGGGTTGCAGAAGGGGTCTGCATAAAGCCCAGGTGCTGCAGCCATGGCTGGAGCTGTGCTTTGGTGGGCAGCAAAGCCCCCATTCCCCCACAGGAGTTCTCAAAACTCCAAGTGAAGCTTTATGGGATGGAGCACCAGCACCCTAAAGGAGTCCTGCGGGTTTTGGGGACAGGGAGATGCCAAAAAAAAAAAGGAAAACAAAGGAAAGGTGAGGGACAAGCCCAGGGAGGGGGAGAGCATCCCTTGGGAATTCCTCACCACTTCCAACCTTTCCTCCCTGGCTGCAGCACAGCTCGGTGCTGAACGAGGGGGGAAAGAGCAGTTTGGGAAATCTGGCCTTGATTCACGGTGCCAGGAACGGGAACAGAAAAAACAAAAAAAAGGGAAAGAAAAAGAAGGCCCCAAGAAAGTCCGAGGATAAATAAATCCAAACAGAGGCGCAGCAGCATCACGTGGGACGCAGCAGAAAACGAGTCCAAAGCCAAAGGCAAGGCAGAGCTCCTTCCCTGACACACAGAAGCACGCCGTGGGCACAGGGCCTGGCCGGGGAGCCCGAGTAGCCCGAGCCCGAGCAGCCCCAGCCCTTCCAGCCCCAGCCTGAGCAGCCCCAGCCCTTTCACGGCCAGCCCTTCCAGCCCCAGCCCTTCCAGCCCCAGCCTGAGCAGCCCCAGCCCGAGCAGCCCCAGCCCGAGCAGCCCCAGCAGCCCCAGCCCTTCCAGCCCCTCCCGGGATGCTGCCAGCACCTCCCAGGGCTGCTCTCCCAGGACATTCCCCTGCTCAGGAGGGGCACCAAGCTCAGCTGGACCCCTCCCCACCGCCCTGGCCGTCCCCCACCCCTGCTGGTGCTTCCTCTCTGCAAGTTCCCCATTTCCCAATGCCAGGGGGATTCCCATCCCAAATCCCCCTGGGATCCACCCTCCGGTCCGGCTCAGGGGGATTTCGGAAGAAATGGGGATAAAGACACGAATCAGGAGCTGGAGTTGTGTTTTAGCCACATCTTTGGCTTTGCCGTGGGATCCCACGGCAGCGCCAGGCCTGCCCCGAGCAGGAACTCCTGCACCTGCCCAGGGGGGGCTCAGAGCCTCTGGGAGCACCTGGCACCTGAAGCCCAGCACACCACAGGGAGCTGCTGGGAAACGGGGAGAGCCCTGGGGAATAAGGAACCTCCAGAAAGCAGAAATAAAACAGAAAGGCACGTCAGAGACGAGCCCCGGGCAGAGCGAAAGAGGAATCGCAGAGGGAGGTCTGGCATTCCCAAAGTTTGTGTGCAGCCTTCTCCTGCTCCGAGAGATCCCAGGGCTCTGCTGCACAGCCCAGGGATGCAGCAAAACACGGATGAATCCCGGGAAAAGGCTGAAATTCCTGGTGGACACAACCCACCGGGGGAGTGCCCGGTGTCCCACGGCTCAGACCACCCGGGCACCCAAAACCAGGAACTCTTCCACAGGAAAAGGGCTGGTTTTGGGTTCCCAAAGCAGGCAGGCCTGTGGGAGAGCGCCTGCCCGCTGAAACCCCAAGCAACCCAGAGCAGCAGGACCAAAACCTTCCCTGAGCAGTGCCCTGAGCCCTCTGGGGACAGACCGGAGCGGGGCTGAGCCAGGAGCTGAAACGAGCAGGGAGCGGGGATGGGGACCCCCCGATACCCCCTCAGGGAGCAGGGATGGGGATCCCCCATTCAGGGAGCAGGGATGTGACCCCCCGATACCCCCTGAGGGAGCAGGGATGGGGATCCCCCCGATCCCCCCTCAGGGAGCAGGGATGGTGATCCCCCCCTCAGGGAGCAGGGATGGGGACCCCCCGATACCCCCTGAGGGAGCAGGGATGGGGATCCCCCATTCAGGGAGCAGGGATGTGACCCCCCCGATCCCCCCTCAGGGAGCAGGGATGGGGATCCCCCCGATCCCCCCTCAGGGAGCAGGGATGGGGATCCCCCATTCAGGGAGCAGGGATGGGGATCCTCCATTCAGGGAGCAGGGATGGGGACCCCCCCGATCCCCCCTCAGGCAGCAGGGCTGTGCCCCTGCCCTGCCCCAAGGACCCTGCTGCTCTGAGCCCCTCTGCCCACCCTGGACACTGCAGCTGCTCCCGGGCTCTGCTGAGAGACCCCCACCACAGAACCCCCCAGCCCAGCTGGGACCCTCCCCAGAGCTGTTGTAGGGACAGCTCCCTGGGAAGCATTCTGCTCCCAGCTGGAGCACCCCTCGGGATAAACGGGAATTCCTGCACTCCGTGCCACTTCCACACGGATAATGCTCAGAGGGAGCAGGACAGGGACACTGGGGACACCTCCGAGGGGACGGCAAGCGGGGAGGGAAGAGCAGCAGAGAAAGGGGCAGGACGGGGAGAGCAGCAGGAACAGCAGCGTGTGCTCACACCTGAGCCAGGAGTGTGTGTGCTCACAGCTGAGCCAGCAGTGTGTGTGTGCTCACACCTGAACCAGCAGTGTGTGTGTGCTCACACCTGAGCCAGGCACCGGCAGTGTGTGTGTGTCACACCTGAGCCAGGAGTGTGTGTGTCACACCTGAGCCAGGAGTGTGTGTGTGCTCACACCTGAGCCAGGCACCGACAGTGTGTGTGTTCACAGCTGAGCCAGGAGTGTGTGTGCTCACACCTGAGCCAGGCACCAGCGGTGTGTGTGTGATCACACCTGAGCCAGCAGTGTGTGTGCTCACACCTGAGCCAGGCACCAGCGGTGTGTGTGTTCACAGTAACAGTGTGTGTGCTCACACCTGAGCCAGGCTCCCCCGGCCGGGATCCCACCGTGCCAGGGAAGGTGCAGGTGCAGGGATCCCCGCTGCCCCAGCGCTCAGTCCCGCTGGTGGAGCACAAACTCCTCCAACTCCAGCTCCGGCCGTGTGCCCTTCCTGCTGCTCCCTGCCCCGGCGCCAGGCAGCGACCCCCGGCTCCCCAGCGCTGCCAGGGGCTGCTGCAGCCCCCCACATCCCCTGGATCCGCTGGCAGCCCCTCCGCACCCGCCTGGACCCCCAGCAGATCCAGGGCTGCGGACCCTTCCCCCCCCAGAGCACGAAGTCCAGCTTTGGGGTCCCCCATTCCGGGACTCCCCAGTGCCCCCAGCCCCATTCGGGGCTCCCCTCCGCCCCTCACAGCCCCCAGCCCCATTCGGGGCTCCCCTCCGCCCCTCACAGCCCCCAGCCCCATTCGGGGCTCCCCTCCGCCCCCTCCCCATTCCGGGGCTCCCCCCGGCACCGCCCGGGCCCCTCGCTGCTCTTCGGCCCCGCCCCAGGGGCGGGGCTTGGCCACATAGCGGCGCCCCCTCGCCTGCCATTGGCCGTCGCGCCCGCCGCTCAGGGGCTACGCGCGATGCGATTGGCCGGGGTGCGCTATCACTCAGCGCGGGGGCGGGGCGTCGGACACCCCGGGACAGCCCCGGGATACGGCCAGGACAGCCCCGGGACAGCCCCGGGATACAGCCGGGACACCCCGGGACACTCCCGGGACAGCCCGGGACACCCCCGGCATACAGCCAGGACAGCTCCGGGACAGCCCCGGGATACCCCCGGGACAGCCCGGGACAGCCCGGGACAGCCCCGGGACACCCCCGGCTCACAGGCACCTCTCAAATCCCAGCACGGCCGGGCTCGGGCCTCTGGCACACCCCAAAGCCCGGGCACGGCTGGCACTGTCCCCCCAGCACCGGGGACACCCCGCCCCCGGCCCCGGTGTCCCGCAGGGACAGATGGCGGTGACAGCCGGGGTGACAGCCGGGGTGGCAGCCGGGGTGGCAGCCCAGGAGCCCCGGGGATCAGCGATGTCCCCGTCCCCTTGCGGGCATGGCTGAGGGGCTCAGCCCAGAGGGGACCCTGCGGGGACAAAGCCAGCTGCACACAGGTGACCCTGGCCAGGGCCACCAAGGAGACACGAGCAGCTCGGGCTGTCACCGAACCGTCTTTATTGGCTGGCCGTGCCCGCTGTCACCGCGCCGCTCACATGGCGAAGAGGATGAGGAAGGCCACCATGAGGCAGAAGAGCCCCATGGCCTCGGAGAGCGCGAAGCCCAGGATGGCGTAGGAGAAGAGCTGCTGCTTCAGGGACGGGTTCCTGCGGGAGCGGGGCCGGGGCACGGCCACCTCGGTCCCTGTCCTCCCCCCAGAGCCCTGTCCCCTCCATAGACCCTGTCCCCCCAAAGCCCCCCATCCCCTCCCAGAGCCCCTGTCCCCTCCCAGAGCCCTGTCCCCTCCATAGACCCCCGTGTCGATGTCCCCGAGGGCAGCGCTCGTGCGCAGCGCCCGCGCCGCGCCCGGCCGCACCTGGGCACGGATGGGGCACCGGGGGTCACCTGTGTGCCCGGGGCACGGCCACTGCCGGACACTGACCCGGGGACACGGCAGGGACAGGGGCGGTGGCACTACTCACAAGAGCAGGAGCCGAGATGAGCTTGGCACAGGTGAGCATGGCGAGGACAGAAGGACACGGGGACACGGCCGAGGGACACGGCTGAGGGGACACGGGGGACAGGGCTGAGGGACAGGGCTGAGGGGACACGGCCGAGGGACACGGGGGGACCAGGGACACAGTGGCACTCAGGGCACACAGTGGCACTCAGGGGACGGGACACGGGCACACGCGGGAGGGGCTGAGGCGCGGGGGTGCGGCCCCACGGGTGACCCCGGCTCTGGGGGTCACGCAGGGGCCACGGGCACACGCGGGAGGGGCGGGCGCGTGGCTGTCACCCAGTGTCACCCAGTGTCACCCAGTGTCACCCAGTGTCACCCAGCGGCCCCGCCCGGCAGCGGCACCGCGGCGGCACTTGGGGGACAGGGACCGAGAGCCGCTGCGGCTGTCACCCACGAGGGGACAGGAGCTCCCGAGGCCCCGGGCCGAGTCGGGCCGCGGGGGTCTCGGGCACAGCCGGGGCTCCCGGTGTCCCCCCGTGCCCCGTCCCCCCCGCTCCGTCCCCGCTCTCACCGGGCTCCGGTCGCGGCCGCTCCGTGTGCGCATGCGCGGCCGGGGAGGCTTCGGGGGTTTTGGGGGAATTTCGGGGGGTTTGGGTTCAGGGGGGTGCGGGGAGGAGCGGCAGAACCGGGCTGTGAAAATGGCCAGAAACGGCCCCAAAAAGGAGGCAGAAGTCCCGGGAATTGGGGTTCTGAGCCCAAAATTTGGGTTCTGATCCGGGGATTGGGGTTCTGATCCCAAAATGGGGGTTCTGATCCCCAAATGGGGGTTCTGATCCCAAAATTGGTGTTCTGATCCCGGAATATGGGTTCTGACCCCGGAATTTGGGTTCTGATCCCCAAATGGGGGTTCTGACCCCGGAATTTGGGTTCTGATCCCCAAATGGGGGTTCTGATCCCAAAATTGGTGTTCTGATCCCGGAATATGGGTTCTGACCCCGGAATTTGGGTTCTGATCCCCAAATGGGGGTTCTGACCCCGGAATTTGGGTTCTGATCCCCAAATGGGGGTTCTGATCCCAAAATTGGTGTTCTGATCCCGGAATATGGGTTCTGACCCCGGAATTTGGGTTCTGATCCCCAAATGGGGGTTCTGACCCCGGAATTTGGGTTCTGATCCCCAAATGGGGGTTCTGATCCCAAAATTGGTGTTCTGATCCCGGAATATGGGTTCTGACCCCGGAATTTGGGTTCTGATCCCCAAATGGGGGTTCTGACCCCGGAATTTGGGTTCTGATCCCCAAATGGGGGTTCTGATCCCAAAATTGGTGTTCTGATCCCGGAATATGGGTTCTGACCCCGGAATTTGGGTTCTGATCCCCAAATGGGGGTTCTGACCCCGGAATTTGGGTTCTGATCCCCAAATGGGGGTTCTGATCCCAAAATTGGTGTTCTGATCCCGGAATATGGGTTCTGACCCCGGAATTTGGGTTCTGATCCCCAAATGGGGGTTCTGACCCCGGAATTTGGGTTCTGATCCCCAAATGGGGGTTCTGATCCCAAAATTGGTGTTCTGATCCCGGAATATGGGTTCTGACCCCGGAATTTGGGTTCTGATCCCCAAATGGGGGTTCTGACCCCGGAATTTGGGTTCTGATCCCCAAATGGGGGTTCTGATCCCAAAATTGGTGTTCTGATCCCGGAATATGGGTTCTGACCCCGGAATTTGGGAGGAGGCAGAAGATCCGGGAATTGGGGTTCCGATCCCAAAATGGGGGTTCTGATCCCAAAATTGGGGTTCTGATCCCAAAATTGGGGTTCTGATCCCGGAATTTGGGTTCTGATCCCAAAATGGGGGTTCTGATCCCAAAATGGTGGTTCTGATCCCAAAACTTGGGTTCTGATGCAGGAATTGGGGTTCTGATCCGGGAATTGGGGTTCTGATCCGGGGATTGGGGTTCTGATCCGGGGATTGGGGTGCTGATCCCAAAATGGGGGTTCTGATCCCAAAATTGGGGTTCTGATCCCAAAATTTGGGTTCTGATCCGGGGATTGGGGTTCTGATCCCAAAATGGGGGTTCTGATCCCCAGCTGGGGGTTCTGATCCGGGGTTGGGGGTTTCGCCGCAGGAATTGGGGATTTCTCCCCCAGGATTTGGTTCCTCCCCAAGATTTGGGGTCCCCCGGGCCGGGGTGGGCGCGGCCCTTTGAGGGGGCTGCGCTCCCGGCCCCGCTCGGCTCCGCCTGCCCCAGGGCAGGATTTGCTTTTCCCGCATTATTTCCCTTCTGTTTTTACACGCGCTTTTATGACAAACTTCACTTCACGTCTGACATTTAAAAGCTGATCAGATCTTCCTCCAGGACAGGGAAATGGGGACGTTTATAGGGGAGGACGGGGACATTTATTTGGGAATTCTGGGCCGGCTTTGTCCCCCGGGAGGGGCTGGCACCAAGGGGACAAAGTCCCGCCGGGTCCCCGCCGCTCTCTGCGGGGTTTTGGGGTCGAAAATGAGATTTTTGGGGTTTTTTTGTCACCCTGCAGCCTGTCCTGCTGTCCTGCTCGCAGCTGGGGACAAGGGACAGGGGTTTGGGGACAGCTCCCGGGGTTTGGGGACAGGGACAGGGGTTTGGGGACAGCTCCCGGGGTTTGGGGACAGGGACAGGGGTCTGGGGTCTGGGGCTCGGTGCTCCCCCCGCACTGCGAAAGGAAAATCAAATCCCCGCAGCGCGAGCAAGGAAAGATTAAAAAATAATTTAAAAAAAAAGGGAATAAAACCCAGGAACGGCGCGGGGACCGCGGGAAAGGTCACCCGGAGCCTTGGGGACAGGGACAGCGACAGGGACAGGGACAGGGACAGGGACAGGGACAGGGACAGGGGGCCCCGCTGCCACCGCCACCCCCTCCTGCAGCCCCAAAGCTGATCCCGACTCACTCCTGATTCCCAATTCCTGATTCCCAACCCCCAGCCCCAAATTCCCAGCCCCGAAATCCCCAATTCCTGATTCCGAGCCCCCAACCCCAAATTCCCAACCCTAATCCCCCCCAGTGCCTCCAAACCCCACAATGTCCCCAAATCCTCCCAGTGTCCCCAATCCCCGCTGTGTCCCCAAATCCCCCCTGAATTCCCAAAACCCCCTCTACCCCCAAATCCCCCCAGTTCCCCCAAATCCCCCAAATCCCCCAA